CACACATCCTCAGCACCAACACACACACACACAACGTCCTCAGCACCAACACACACAACATCCTCAGCACCAACAAACACACAACGTCCTCAGCACCAACAAACACACACAACGTCCTCAGCACCAACAAACACACACAACGTCCTCAGCACCAACAAACACACACACCACGTCCTCAGCACCAACAAACACACACAACATCCTCAGCACCAACAAACACACACACAACGTCCTCAGCACCAACAAACACACAACATCCTCAGCACCAACAAACACACAACGTCCTCAGCACCAACAAACACACACAACGTCCTCAGCACCAACAAACACACACAACGTCCTCAGCACCAACAAACACACAACATCCTCAGCACCAACAAACACACAACATCCTCAGCACCAACAAACACACACAACGTCCTCAGCACCAACAAACACACACAACGTCCTCAGCACCAACAAACACACACAACGTCCTCAGCACCAACACACACACAACGTCCTCAGCACCAACAAACACACAACATCCTCAGCACCAACACACACACACAACGTCCTCAGCACCAACAAACACACAACATCCTCAGCACCAACACACACACACAACGTCCTCAGCACCAACAAACACACAACATCCTCAGCACCAACACACACACAACGTCCTCAGCACCAACAAACACACAACATCCTCAGCACCAACACACACACAACGTCCTCAGCACCAACAAACACACAACGTCCTCAGCACCAACAAACACACACAACGTCCTCAGCACCAACACACACACAACGTCCTCAGCACCAACAAACACACACAACGTCCTCAGCACCAACAAACACACAACATCCTCAGCACCAACAAACACACAACATCCTCAGCACCAACAAACACACACAACGTTCTCAGCACCAACAAACACAACGTCCTCAGCACCAACAAACACACACAACGTTCTCAGCACCAACAAACACAACGTTCTCAGCACCAACAAACACACACAACGTCCTCAGCACCAACAAACACACACAACATCCTCAGCACCAACACACACACACAACGTCCTCAGCACCAACAAACACACACACAACATCCTCAGCACCAACAAACACATACAACGTCCTCAGCACCAACAAACACACACAACATCCTCAGCACCAACAAACACACACAACGTCCTCAGCACCAACACACACACACAACGTCCTCAGCACCAACAAACACACACAACGTCCTCAGCACCAACAAACACACACAACGTCCTCAGCACCAACACACACACAACATCCTCAGCACCAACAACACACACACACAACGTCCTCAGCACACAACATGCTCAGCACCAACAACACACACAAACGTCCTCAGCACCAACACACACAACGTCCTCAGCACCAACAACACAACGTCCTCAGCACCAACAAACACAACGTCCTCAGCACCAACAAACACACACAACGTCCTCAGCACCAACAAACACAACGTCCTCAGCACCAACAAACACACACAACGTCCTCAGCACCAACAAACAAACACAACGTCCTCAGCACCAAGAAACACACACAACGTCCTCAGCACCAACAAACACACACACAACGTCCTCAGCACCAACAAACACACACACAACGTCCTCAGCACCAACAAACACACACAACGTCCTCAGCACCAACAAACACATACAACGTCCTCAGCACCAACAAACACACACAACATCCTCAGCACCAACAAACACACACAACGTCCTCAGCACCAACACACACACACAACGTCCTCAGCACCAACAAACACACACAACGTCCTCAGCACCAACAAACACACACAACGTCCTCAGCACCAACACACACACAACATCCTCAGCACCAACAAACACACACACACAACGTCCTCAGCACACAACATGCTCAGCACCAACAAACACACACAACGTCCTCAGCACCAACACACACAACGTCCTCAGCACCAACAAACACAACGTCCTCAGCACCAACAAACACAACGTCCTCAGCACCAACAAACACACACAACGTCCTCAGCACCAACAAACACAACGTCCTCAGCACCAACAAACACACACAACGTCCTCAGCACCAACAAACAAACACAACGTCCTCAGCACCAAGAAACACACACAACGTCCTCAGCACCAACAAACACACACACAACGTCCTCAGCACCAACAAACAAACACACAACGTCCTCAGCACCAACAAACACACACACAACGTCCTCAGCACCAACACACACAACGTCCTCAGCACCAACAAACACAACGTTCTCAGCACCAACAAACACACACAACGTCCTCAGCACCAACAAACAAACACAACGTCCTCAGCACCAACACACACAACGTCCTCAGCACCAACAAACACAACGTTCTCAGCACCAAGAAACACACACAACGTCCTCAGCACCAACAAACACACATACAACATCCTCAGCACCAACAAACAAACACACAACGTCCTCAGCACCAACAAACACACACACAACGTCCTCAGCACCAACAAACACACACAACGTCCTCAGCACCAACAAACACACACAACTTCCTCAGCACCAACAAACAAACACAACATCCTCAGCACCAACAAACAAACACAACGTCCTCAGCACCAACAAACACACACAACGTCCTCAGCACCAACACACACAACGTCCTCAGCACCAACAAACACACACAACATCCTCAGCACCAACAAACAAACACAACGTCCTCAGCACCAACAAACACACACAACGTCCTCAGCACCAACACACACACACGTCCTCAGCACCAACAAACACACACAACATCCTCAGCACCAACAAACACACACAACGTCCTCAGCACCAACAACACACAACACACACACACACAACGTCCTCAGCACCAACAAACACACACAACGTCCTCAGCACCAACAAACACACAACGTCCTCAGCACCAACAAACACACACAACGTCCTCAGCACCAACAAACACACACAACGTCCTCAGCACCAACAAACACACAACAACGTCCTCAGCACCAACAAACACACACAACGTCCTCAGCACCAACAAACACACACAACGTCCTCAGCACCAACAAACACACACAACGTCCTCAGCACCAACAAACACACACAACGTCCTCAGCACCAACAAACACACACAACGTCCTCATCACCAACAAACACACACAACATCCTCAGCACCAACAAACACACACAACGTCCTCAGCACCAACAAACACACACACAACGTCCTCAGCACCAACAAACACACACACAACGTCCTCAGCACCAACAAACACACACAACGTCCTCAGCACCAACAAACGCACACAACGTCCTCAGCACCAACAAACACACACAACGTCCTCAGCACCAACAAACACACACACAACGTCCTCAGCACCAACAAACACACACACAACGTCCTCAGCACCAACAAACACACACACAACATCCTCAGCACCAACAAACACACACAACGTCCTCAGCACCAACAAACACACACACAACGTCCTCAGCACCAACAAACACACACACAACGTCCTCAGCACCAACAAACACACACAACGTCCTCAGCACCAACAAACACACACAACGTCCTCAGCACCAACAAACACACACAACGTCCTCAGCACCAACATCATACACACAACGTCCTCAGCACCAACAAACACACACAACGTCCTCAGCACCAACAAACACACACAACGTCCTCAGCACCAACAAACACACACAACGTCCTCAGCACCAACACACACACACACACAACGTCCTCAGCACCAACAAACACACACAACGTCCTCAGCACCAACAAACACACACAACGTCCTCAGCACCAACAAACACACACACAACGTCCTCAGCACCAACAAACACACACACAACATCCTCAGCACCAACAAACACACACAACGTCCTCAGCACCAACAAACACACACAACGTCCTCAGCACCAACAAACATACACAACGTCCTCAGCACCAACAAACACACACAACGTCCTCAGCACCAACAAACACACACACACAACATACAATGGTCACTACACGCTAAATTACTTAAAAAAAATCACAACCCGAGCTAATTTAAGTCTTAACAACCCTCAATCACCCTCTGTAGGGTTATTAAGACCACAATAACTGACTGTCAACCAATAACTATAATATTGTCGTCTAATGTTGTTATTGTTGTTAAAGATTCGCTACTTGGAACAAAGTGCCAAGTAGCACGGGCTATGGTGAGCCCGGAGTGCCTTTTTCTTAGTCCTCTAAACTGTATGTGTGTGTATGTGCAATATATATAGGCATATAGTGAGATGTTGGTGACATCTCTTGGCCTATATATTCTCCCAGGGTAGGCCTATACATTTGATATAGGCCTATACAAAGATTTATAAGTTAATGGTGAAGTTACACACTCGCTGCTCGGCGCGTTTCCTTTGACAAGGTAATTAATATAATAATAATATAATATAATTTCACAGGAAAAAATGTATTAAATTATTTATCACTAAGAGTTAACGTGTTCGACGTTTTCTATGGGTCTAACGTTTTCTCGGAGTCTGGCGTTTTCTATGGGGTCCGGCGTTTTCTATGGGTCCCGACGTTTTCTATGGGGTCCCGACGTTTTCTATGGGGTCCCGACGTTTTCTATGGGTCCCGACGTTTTCTATGGGTCTAACGTTTTCTCTGAGTCTGGCGTTTTCTATAGGGTATCGACGTTTTCTATGGGGTACCGACGTTTTCTATAGTTTGCAGAGAGGAGAAGGTATATCACAAGACACTTACCTTAATAGAAGAACGAGGGTCGTGTCCTCTGTCCCAACACAAGACTAAAGAACTGATATAACTGTAGGAGGAAGGGGAGTGAGGGAGAGAGGGAGAGTGGGAGAGGGAGAGGGAGAGGGAGAGGGAGAGAGGGAGAGAGGGAGAGGGAGAGGGAGGGAAGGGGTAGAAGGAGAGGAAGGGAACACGAGTGCACAACCACCTCCACCACCACTAGGGCAGAAGGCGGCCTTCTCTTACACACACAAGCGCTGCCCAGACTCCCATGTTGTCAGCTGGGTGGTCCCGCCTCGACTGAAAGGCCCGGTTCTTTACGCCATTCATGAGACCCTTCCTCCCTCCCTCCCTCCCTCCCTTTCACCCTCCCTCCCTCCCTCCCTCCCTCTCACCCTCCCTCCCTCCCTCCTACCCTCCCTCACTCCCTCTCACCCTCCCTCCCTCCCTCCCTCACTCCCTCCCTCCCTCCCTCCCTTCCTCCCTTCTTCCCTCCCTCCCTCCCTCCCTCCCTCCCTCCCTCCCTCCCTCCCTCCCTCCCTCCCTCCCTCCCTCTCCCCCCTCCCTCCCTCCCTCCCTCCCTCCCTCCCTCCCTCCTCCCTCCCTCCCTCCCTCCTCCCTTCTTCCCTCCCTCCCTCCCTCCCTCCCTCCCTCCCTCCCTCCCTCCCTCCCTCCCTCCCTCCCTCCCTCCCTCCCTCCCTCCCTCCCTCCCTCCCTCCTACCCTCCCTCCCTCCCTCCCTCCCTCCCTCCCTCCCCCTCCCTCCCTCCCTCCCTCCCCTCCCTCCCTCCCTCCCTCCCTCCCTCCCTCCCTCCCTCCCTCCCTCCCTCCCTCCCTCCCTCCCTCCCTCCTCCCTCCCTCCCTCCCTCCCTCCCTCCCTCCCTCCCTCCCTCCCTCCCTCCCTCCTCCCCCTCCCTCCCTCCCTCCCTCCCTCCCTCCCTCCCTCCCTCCCTCCCTCCCTCCCTCCCTCCCTCCCTCCCTCCCTCCCTCCCTCCTCTCCCTCCCTCCCTCCCTCCCTCCCTCCCTCCCTCCCTCCCTCCCTCCCTCCCTCCCTCCCTCCCTCCCTCCCTCCCTCCCTCCCTCCCTCCCTCCCTCCCTCCCTCCCTCCCTCCCTCCCTCCCTCCCTCCCTCCCTCCCTCTCTACCCCCTCCCTCCCTCCCTCCTCCCTCCCTCCCTCCCTCCCTCCCTCCCTCCCTCCCTCCCTCCCTCCCTCCCTCCCTCCCTCCCTCCCTCCCTCCCTACCTCCCTCCCTCCCTCCCTACCTCCCTCCCTCCCTCCCTCCCTCCCTCCCTCCCTCCCTCCCTCCCTCCCTCCCTCCCTCCCTCCCTCCCTCCCTCCCTCCCTCCCTCCCTCCCTCCCTCCCTCCCTCCCTCCCTCCCTCCCTCCCTCCCTCCCTCCCTCCCTCCCTCCCTCCCTCCCTCCCTCCCTCCCTCCCTCCCTCCCACCCTCCCTCCCTCCCTCCCTCCCTCCCTCCCTCCCTCCCTCCCTCCCTCCCTCCCTCCCTCCCTCCCTCACTCCCTCCCTCCCTCCCTCCCTCCCTCCCTCCCTCCCTCCCTCCCTCCCTCCCTCTCTACCTCCCTCCCTCCCTCTCTACCTCCCTTCGTCCTACCCTTTCCTTTCTGCCTTACCTTACAGCCAACTAGCAATTGACAGAGACCTTACTGACAACTGACAGAGACTCTTGACAGTCAACAAACAACTGACAGAGGCTCTTGACAGTCAACAAACCACTGACAGAGGCTCTTGACAGTCAACAAACAACTGACAGAGGCACTTGACAGTCAACAAACAACTGACAGAGGCACTTGACAGTCAACAAACAACTGACAGAGGCTCTTGACAGTCAACAAACAACTGACAGAGGCACTTGACAGTCAACAAACAACTGACAGAGACACTTGACAGCCAACAAACAACTGACAGAGGCACTTGACAGTCAACAAACAACTGACAGAGGCACTTGACAGTCAACAAACAACTGACAGAGGCACTTGACAGTCAACAAACAACTGAGAGACACTTGACAGCCAACAAACAACTAACAGAGACACTTGACAGCCAACTAACAACTGACAGAGGCACTTGACAGTCAACAAACACCTGACAGAGGCACTTGACAGTCAACAAACAACTGACAGAGGCACTTGACAGGCACTAGCAATTAACAGAGGCACTTGACAGTCAACAAACAACTGACAGAGACACTTGACAGCCAACTAACAACTGACAGAGGCACTTGACAGTCAACAAACAACTGACAGAGGCACTTGACAGGCACTAGCAATTAACAGAGGCACTTGACAGTCAACAAACAACTGACAGAGACACTTGACAGCCAACTAACAACTGACAGAGGCTCTTGACAGTCAACAAACAACTAACAGAGGCACTTGACAGTCAACAAACAACTGACAGAGGCACTTGACAGGCACTAGCAATTAACAGAGGCACTTGACAGTCAACAAACAACTGACAGAGACACTTGACAGCCAACTAACAACTGACAGAGGCTCTTGACAGTCAACAAACAACTAACAGAGGCACTTGACAGTCAACAAACAACTGACAGAGGCACTTGACAGGCACTAGCAATTAACAGAGGCACTTGACAGTCAACAAACAACTGACAGAGACACTTGACAGCCAACTAGTAACTGACAGAGACACTTGACAGCCAACTAGTAACTGACAGAGACACTTGACAGCCAACAAACAACTGACAGAGGCACTTGACAGCCACTAGTAACTGACAGAGACACTTGACAGCCAACAAACAACTGACAGAGGCACTTGACAGCCAACAAACACCTGACAGAGGCACTTGACAGTCAACAAACAACTGACAGAGGCACTTGACAGCCAACTAGTAACTGACAGAGACACTTGACAGCCAACTAACAACTGACAGAGGCACTTGACAGTCAACAAACACCTGACAGAGGCACTTGACAGCTGTCACGTAGTCATAAGGCCAACTGTCAACAGGCAGCACTGTACCTTTACCTAAAAGTCTTCTTTAATTGTCACAAAGTTCTGGTTTAATGGCGTTTGTCTCACATTATTCATTAACTTTTTTTTTTCACTCCAAAGTTTTTTCTCTCAGCTTGTCCAAGAAAGGACAGCGTCTGTAAGATAATGTTTGTACTACAAGGTAGACTTGAGTGCTTTTCTAACTACTAAACTAACTGCTTTTCTACATTCTAACTACTAAGCTAACTGCTTTTCTTCATTCTAACTAGTAAACTAACTGCTTTTCTACATTCTAACTACTAAGCTAACTGCTTTTCTTCATTCTAACTAGTAAACTAACTGCTTTTCTACATTCTAACTAGTAAACTAACTGCTTTTCTACATTCTAACTAGTAAACTAACTGCTTTTCTACATTCTAACTAGTAAACTAACTGCTTTTCTACATTCTAACTACTAAACTAACTGCTTTTCTACATTCTAACTAGTAAACTAACTGCTTTTCTACATTCTAACTAGTAAACTAACTGCTTTTCTACATTCTAACTACTAAGCTAACTGCTTTTCTTCATTCTAACTAGTAAACTAACTGCTTTTCTACATTCTAACTACTAAGCTAACTGCTTTTCTTCATTCTAACTACTAAACTAACTGCTTTTCTACATTCTAACAACTAAGCTAACTGCTTTTCTTCATTCTAACTACTAAACTAACTGTTTTTCTACATTCAAACTAGTAAACTAACTGCTTTTCTTCATTCTAACTACTAAGCTAACTGCTTTTCTTCATTCTAACTAGTAAACTAACTGCTTTTCTACATTCTAACTACTAAGCTAACTGCTTTTCTTCATTCTAACTAGTAAACTAACTGCTTTTCTTCATTCTAACTACTAAGCTAACTGCTTTTCTTCATTCTAACTAGTAAACTAACTGCTTTTCTTCATTCTAACTACTAAGCTAACTGCTTTTCTTCATTCTAACTAGTAAACTAACTGCTTTTCTTCATTCTAACTACTAAGCTAACTGCTTTTCTTCATTCTAACTACTAAGCTAACTGCTTTTCTACATTCTAACTAGTAAACTAACTGCTTTTCTACATTCTAACTACTAAGCTAACTGCTTTTCTTCATTCTAACTACTAAACTAACTGCTTTTCTACATTCTAACTACTAAGCTAACTGCTTTTCTTCATTCTAACTAGTAAACTAACTGCTTTTCTACATTCTAACTACTAAGCTAACTGCTTTTCTTCATTCTAACTACTAAACTAACTGCTTTTCTACATTCTAACTAGTAAACTAACTGCTTTTCTACATTCTAACTAGTAAACTAACTGCTTTTCTACATTCTAACTACTAAACTAACTGCTTTTCTACATTCTACAACTAAGCTAACTGCTTTTCTTCATTCTAACTAGTAAACTAACTGCTTTTCTACATTCTAACAACTAAGCTAACTGCTTTTCTTCATTCTAACTACTAAACTAACTGTTTTTTTTCTACATTCTAACAACTAAACTAACTGCTTTTCCTTCATTCTAACTACTAAGCTAACTGCTTTTCTTCATTCTAACTAGTAAACTAACTGCTTTTCTACATTCTAACAACTAAGCTAACTGCTTTTCTTCATTCTAACTACTAAACTAACTGTTTTTCTACATTCAAACTAGTAAACTAACTGCTTTTCTTCATTCTAACTAGTAAACTAACTGTTTTTCTACATTCTAACTAGTAAACTAACTCAAACAAATCATTTCTTTATGTATTATACAGCTAGCCACACAGGTATCGTCTGTGAAGGAGGTGGGTATTACCTTAGCTGACAGGGTTCGACGCTTGCCGGGGCCAGATGCACGAAGCCGTTACGCAAGCACTTACGAACCTGTCCATCTTTTCTCAATCTTTGGCGGCTTTGTTTACAATTATTAAGCAGTTAATGAGCCCCGAAGCACCAGGAGGCTGTTTATAACAATATCAACAGTTGATTGGCAAGTTTTCATGCTTGTAAACTGTTTAATAAATGTAACCAAAGCCGTCAAAGATTGAGGAAAGATGTACAGGTTCGTAAGTACTTGCGTAACTGCTTCATGAATCTGGTCCCAGGTTCGTAAGTACTTGCGTAACTGCTTGGTGAATCTGGCCTCAGGAACTGATGGGTCAGTCAGGTATAGAATCAGAGCGCTAGCCAGGTATGTAGGCTTGAACACACCTGCTCCAGCAACCAGTCAGTCGTACAGGTGTAGGGGACACGAAGACAGTTGCATCACGAGGACTTATCACTAGACAGCGAGCCAGACACAACAGTCTAACGGAACAGTGTCTCT